TTAAATCCAGGAACAACACATGCAAAGGAAATCAGATGTCAATTTAATATTATTCATACATATAAAACAATAAAGATACAGTTCGACCAATCAGAGCAAACTGTGCGTTCTATCTCATCAACTGTTTGGGTATTAGTTTAAGGTAAGTCCTTTATGTTTTGTTACCTAAATAACATTTGATTCTTTATGTTTAATCAGTGTACTTAAACTGTCAATATTGTTATTTGTATTTGCTTCTCAGCGTTAGCAATATTATTTTATTATTCATGTTAAAAGGCTTGCATAAAGAAGTAATATCATGAGTAGTATGCTAAAAGCCATTGTATGACCTGTCGTAAGGGAAGCATGGTGTTCTTTTTTTCCACACAACATGTATTTTCACTTGGTACAGTGAGTGAGTGAGTATGGTTTTACGCCGCTTTTAGCAATATTCCAGCAATATCACGGCGGGGGACACCAGAAATGGGCTTCACACATTGTACCCATGTCGGGAATCGAACCCGGGTCTTCGGCGTGACGAGCGAACGCTTTAACCACTAGGCTACCCGACCGCCCTCACTTGGTACGGGTAAAGGAGATTGGTAACACCCTAAGCCTATATAAGTATTTCTCCCCATCAAAGTTTGAACAAGCAGCAGTAGTATATGTGCCAAACAGATATATAAACTTGATATTTTGTACTTCAAAGGTAAACGGGTGTTGATGTGATATATAAGCGAGCATGTTTATACAAATCCTTTGCTTATACTGAAGAAATGATGTACAGAATGATATAAGAAGTATTTCTATATCTTGGTTGACTTTGCCAAACAGGAGAGTTCAAAGGTCATCCCTATTATCATAATAACAGCTTTTATATCAAATCTCAGTATAAGTTGCACAAGTAAGTAGTAAGGCACTTCCATTGAAAAAACCCAAATTATCACTATTACATCTTTCATATTTGTGACCGTTCACTGCGTCCTATCTGATTTGCTGCGTCGTATCTTATTTTCGCGTGAACCAATATTTGAAAAATATGTCAAGCACTTCAGTTTTACCAGAATGATGCAGGTTTTTAAACAGAGATGCTGAGGCGGCTTTTCTCAGAAAAGAAGTGAATTGTGTTCCAGACGGAGACTGTGGAAGGATCTTTTAAAACAAAACTCAGTCCGGCAATTAGGCTCATAGTGTTCATTATTGTTACCCGTTCCTAATGTGGGCACTTGTTACAGGTACAGTATCACATAAATATCTTGTTGTGCCCCTTTTCTTATTTTGAAATATGCCTAATTTGTGAAACAGAGGATAGGCCGGTGGCCAATGTTTTCGTTGCGGAGACCCGCTCTTACACAGGCAGGATGGCGATTTTTCATCCTTACATAGTCGTTGGTGAGGCGACGGCCTCAGCTATCGCCACGAGTAGCCGCACGACCCCGTCTACCTGATTGACCCGACGTGAGGTTTAAATTGACATTTATAGATTGCGCTGGGCCCTGTCCTGAGGGGGCGTATTTACTGTATACATTAAACAGACAAAGAGGATCAAATTTCGGCGCACTTTGAAACGTATTGAAATAATTAGGCATTTTAGAAAAATGAATTTTAAAGATAAGTATTGAAATACCCCCGAAAGAAGAGCTTTTGTCCTCAAAAGCGTTTTAAAAATAGGGACAACATTGAAACTCAACAGACCGTTACACAATTTAAGAATTTGCTTCACGTAATGGGAGATAATGGTATACACTGGGAAGCAGATTATGCCAAATCATTCACAGTCGCCTCAGGTTTGGCTGCAGCGATCTTAACACAGATCAGTGTAATAGTTATATCTTTGATACAAAAACTTGTTCCTGTGCATATCATACCGAAGATGCTCTACACTTCTTTTTTGAGTGTACAAATTACTATGCTCTTCGAAATGAAATGTATTTTTACCAACATGGTTATTCTTTACAAACAGTGCTATGCGGAAATTCGGATTTGAGTAAGGAAGAGCAAATGGCAAAATTAGATTCTATTCAACACTTTACATTAAAAACTGGCAGATTTTCAGTTAAAAGATTGTTTAAAATAAACTGCAAATAGATTTATTATATGTACACATCTAGCTTGGCATGTACAATTTTTTTGTTACATCTAACCTTCATTTATGTATTCATTGTAATATGTCCTATGTGTAATGGAGCGGTATTAACATAAGCGCTTCGCTTGTTTACAAATCCATTTTCACACTTTTGTGAAAATAAATATGTTTAAACCATAACATCAGCAGGTTAACAAGTAGTTCCTTCTGCCATTAATCATGACTCAGATGATTCAAATGACATTTGATAAGATATAGAAGTATACAAGTGAATAACCGAATTTCAATTCCATTTCAAGACATTTGCTAAAGATGTCAACATCTTCAACTTCTTCAGATTCTTTATTACTATAATATACCACACAGTGGTAAATGGGATATCTTAATATGTTTATAGTGCCTAAGTGGGCAGTGATAGAGAATATATAAGTGAAATATCATGTTTCTCGACGCAAAATCTTAAAATATATAAAAAGTATCCAAATATATTAGGGTGACGAAAATTCTTTATCATACAATTAGATATGATTATATACAAAATTACTTGAAAACTAGGAGACTGCTGTTGGAAGCTGGTCAAGTGACAAAAATGGCGCTTTGCGAAACGAACAGTCTCCATTGACGAATTAACCCAGACATTTACAGTTTATAAGGAATCTATTTCGAGGGAATAACAAACGAGTAGAAGTGATATTAACTCCATAAACGACCGTCTGTCTGTGGACCTGACGTAAAAGGAACGTCAACAGTTTGTGTACGGGCTGGTCAGTTACGACAAAGGAAGACAATTTAAGGGGAGGTAACTCTTGTATGACAATAGTTCCGTCAAACTGTTATGTTCACTGCAGTGAAATACCAAGTATTATGTTCACTGCAATGAAAATATAACTTTTCTCAAGTTCGGAAATCTCAGTCTTTCACACTGAAGTATATAATAAGATATATATCAGAAGTGTGAAAAAATACATTGTACTAATGTACATAGCTTCCTTAACACAGAGGGGACACAGGTGGCCCAGTCGTCCAAGGCGCCGCGATTCGCTGTGCAGAGTTTCATCCCTTGGACACCCCAGAAACCTGTGACTGTAGGTTCGAATTCCGGTTCGCCCCGATTATGTTTCTAGGTTTGTCAGCACCATACCCGTGCTCTTGGGTTTCACCGAAGTGGTAAACGTCTATGACCTGCATCTCTTGTGGCTTTCCTCCCACATTAAGCTGACATGACTGAAATACTGTTAAAGCGGCGTTAAACACAATTTCACATTTGTATTGATCAAGTTTGTTATCATCTGTTCGTCTGCCTGGAGCCTCTGAAGGGATACTATTGAGTGTTTTTTATTGTGCATAATATGATGTTGACCGCTAGCTTCACCCTTTCAAGTCGTGTATGCTTTAATCAACAACAAAACCACATGTCAGTTTGGTGGCAGCTCTTTATTGTATATCCTTTGATATAATATACGGCTTCATATTCCTCGATCCTCCGATAGGTGTCGCTTCACACAGCGCAGACAGAATAGCACCGAATACGAGTTTAACCAGTCGAAATAAAAGTCCATAATATGCAAGTATTGAATCCGCGAAGAAAAGGCCCATCTGCATTTCAATGATTCAGACTTGGAGGATGTTTCAAGTGTGCCTCTTTATGGTCTTCCTAGCATGTTTTTCCTTCCCCACGCGCTCCCCAACACCCACTCCAGATTGCACATAATGTATATCTGCCAACTTACAAAACACCAAAATATTTCAGTCAGCAGGGGTCCATCGGCCGGCTTTAGGCGCTAAACTTCTTGGGTAATTTCACTATCGCAAGATAACAGAGCGAAGACATCCTGTTTAGACTTTTACAGATTGCAGCATAACCGTAGCATTTCATGAACTAAAGGTAAGAATTATCATTACTTAGAATGAGTAAGAAAGCTAACAATGTCTTTTTTAATGATTTAACAACTGTCCTTGGTTAGATTCCCTGAAGTATAGTCCAGAGACAGAACGAAGTATGGTTTATTTCACGATAAAACATTGTTTTATCATGACGTCAATTCTGGAGATTTGAAACTCGATGACGTCGTATATTTGACGACGTTACTTTTGAAAGGGTGTCTTTTGAGTTGTTCCCCGTAGATGTAGCTGGGCAACGCAGATTAACGCGATGGCCGACCGATCGCATACAACAGCGGTAGAGATGTTGCAATCGGTATTGGGAGAAAAGGTACAAGTAGTCGACGTGAGGATTTTGAGAATATGCGGGAAATACCCACCTTACGCCGATAATTCATCATTTTCTTCCATTGTCGCATGCTGGCCTTAGCAGAAACATTGAACGCCCAGTATAACAAGAAGAATACCACTTTTGATCCGTTATAATGGACCTCTGGATAATATTCATATTAAAATCTATTTATTTTGCATTTGTTATATTATTACTTCATGAAATTAGTCATAAATATACCTAATAATTTAGAAGACAATTAATACATCCCATCTTTCTTTTTTGATTGTAAAACTGCCGAGGCTAATTTTGATAATAATATAGATGGCGTTATTCGTTATTTTCAAATGTCTTTATTGCAAATTTCATTCGCACATAACAATACATCCATGTGTGCAATAGCACCACATACATTATATGGCAATTAATTAATAAGACACTTCAGTTTGAGATTATGGAAAAGATTATTACAAATCACACAGTTGCCATGTTACCTACTGTATATGGAACACACTGCTAAGATATTTTCAGTGTGTTGTTTGTGGGAAATTATGTCAGTGTCAGTTATTTATCATGATACATGTCACATGAACCATTAAATTGTATATGGTCCCACCCCTGGTTGTTACTGGTGGTGTTCTTGTGGAAACGTCTTTTGGGATTGCATTAAAGTGACACCTGTATTATGTTTTCAGTGAACACCATAACGTCCACAAGTTAATAATGGAAGTACAAAGCCAACGACATATTCCTGGCTCTGTTACTGAAACATGTGCAGTCAGGGACTCTGAGAGAGACTTGCTGGAAACAAGTGATCTCAATGCAGAGCCTGTAACTGACATGCTGGAAACAGATGATCCCAAGAAACAATGTGTTACTGACATGCTGGAAACAGATGATCCCAAGAAACAATCAGTAACTGGCACGCTGGAGACAGATGATCCCAAGAAACAATCAGTAACTGGCACGCTGGAAACAGATGATCCCAGGAAACAATCAGTAACTGGCACGCTGGAGACAGGTGATCCCAAGAAACAATCAGTAACTGGCACGCTGGAGACAGATGATCCCAAGAAACAATCAGTAACTGGCACGCTGGAAACAGGTGATCTCAAGAAACAATCAGTAACTGGCACGCTGGAAACAGGTGATTTCCAGAAACAATCAGTAACTGGCACGCTGGAAACAGGTGATCTCCAGAAACAATCAGTAACTGGCACGCTGGAAACAGGTGATCTCCAGAAACAATCAGTAACTGGCACGCTGGAAACAGGTGATCCCAAGAAAACATTTGCAGCTTCAAGAAATCCGAAGACACACATGAGGATTCACGGTGGAATCCAGCCTTACAAGTGCACTGAATGTGGAAAAAGATTCACAGCATCGAATAACTTGCAGAGACACATGCGGATTCACAGTGAAATCAAGCCGTGTCAGTGTGTTGAATGTGGAAACAGCTTTAACAGCATCGGATTACCTCCAGCGACACATGAGGATTCACAGTGGAAACAAACCTTATCAGTGTGTTGAATGTGAGAAAGGATTTACAGAACCATCTGACCTTAAGAAACACATGAAGATTCACAGTAGAATCAAGCCTTATCAGTGTGTTGAATGTGGGAAAGAATTTTCACGACCATGTCAGCTGCAGACACACATGTGGATTCACAGTGGAATCAAGTCTTATCAGTGTGGTGAATGTGGGAAGGGATTTACACAATCAAACAGTCTGAAGGCACACATGAGGACTCATAATGGAAGCAAGCCTTTTCAGTGCAATGTGTGCGAGAAGACATTTTCACAATCAGGTCATCTGCAGACACACATGAGGATTCACAGTGGAATCAAGCGTTATGAGTGTGATGAATGTGGGAAAAGCTTTACACAGGTAGGTACCCTGCAGACACACATGAGGACGCACAGTGGAATCAAGCCTTTTCAGTGCATTGTATGTGAGAAAACATTTACAGTATCGGGAAGACTGAAGGCACACATGAGGATTCACACTGGAATCAAGCCTTATCAGTGTGTTGAATGTGGGAGACAATTTACAGAGTCGTGTACTCTGCAGAAACACATGAGGATTCACAGTGGAATCAAGCCTTATCAGTGTGTTGAATGTAGAAAAGGATTTACAGAACCATCTGACCTTAAGAAACACATGAGGATTCACAGTGGAATCAAGCCTTATCAGTGTGTTGAATGTGAGAAAAGATTTACAGAGCCAGGTAGCCTTCAGAGACACATGAGGGTTCACAGTGCAATCAAGCCTTTTCAGTGTGTTGAATGTGGGAAAGAATTTTCACGACCATGTCACCTGCAGACACACATGTGGATTCACAGTGGAATCAAGTCCTATCAGTGTGGTGAATGTTGGAAGGGATTTACACAATCAAACAGTCTGAAGAGACACATGAGGACTCATAATGGAAGCAAGCCTTTTCAGTGCAATGTGTGCGAGAAGACATTTTCACAATCAGGTAATCTGCAGACACACATGAGGATTCACAGTGGAATCAAGCCTTATGAGTGTGATGAATGTGGAGAAAGCTTTACACAGTTAGGGTCCCTGCAGACACACATGAGGACGCACAGTGGAATCAAGCCTTTTCAGTGCATTGTATGTGAGAAAACATTTACAGTATCGGGAAGACTGAAGGCACACATGAGGATTCACACTGGAATCAAGCCTTATCAGTGTGTTGAATGTGGGAGACAATTTACAGAGTCGTGTACTCTGCAGAAACACATGAGGATTCACAGTGGAATCAAGCCTTATCAGTGTGTTGAATGTAGAAAAGGATTTACAGAACCATCTGACCTTAAGAAACACATGAGGATTCACAGTGGAATCAAGCCTTATCAGTGTGTTGAATGTGAGAAAAGATTTACAGAGCCAGGTAGCCTTCAGAGACACATGAGGGTTCACAGTGCAATCAAGCCTTTTCAGTGTGTTGAATGTGGGAAAGAATTTTCACGACCATGTCACCTGCAGACACACATGTGGATTCACAGTGGAATCAAGTCCTATCAGTGTGGTGAATGTTGGAAGGGATTTACACAATCAAACAGTCTGAAGAGACACATGAGGACTCATAATGGAAGCAAGCCTTTTCAGTGCAATGTGTGCGAGAAGACATTTTCACAATCAGGTAATCTGCAGACACACATGAGGATTCACAGTGGAATCAAGCCTTATGAGTGTGATGAATGTGGAGAAAGCTTTACACAGTTAGGGTCCCTGCAGACACACATGAGGACGCACAGTGGAATCAAGCCTTTTCAGTGCATTGTATGTGAGAAAACATTTACAGTATCGGGAAGACTGAAGGCACACATGAGGATTCACACTGGAATCAAGCCTTATCAGTGTGTTGAATGTGGGAGACAATTTACAGAGTCGTGTACTCTGCAGAAACACATGAGGATTCACAGTGGAATCAAGCCTTATCAGTGTGTTGAATGTAGAAAAGGATTTACAGAACCATCTGACCTTAAGAAACACATGAGGATTCACAGTGGAATCAAGCCTTATCAGTGTGTTGAATGTGAGAAAAGATTTACAGAGCCAGGTAGCCTTCAGAGACACATGAGGGTTCACAGTGCAATCAAGCCTTTTCAGTGTGTTGAATGTGGGAAAGAATTTTCACGACCATGTCACCTGCAGACACACATGTGGATTCACAGTGGAATCAAGTACTATCAGTGTGGTGAATGTTGGAAGGGATTTACACAATCAAACAGTCTGAAGAGACACATGAGGACTCATAATGGAAGCAAGCCTTTTCAGTGCAATGTGTGCGAGAAGACATTTTCACAATCAGGTAATCTGCAGACACACATGAGGATTCACAGTGGAATCAAGCCTTATGAGTGTGATGAATGTGGAGAAAGCTTTACACAGTTAGGGTCCCTGCAGACACACATGAGGACTCACAGTGGAATCAAGCCTTTTCAGTGCATCGTGTGTGAGAAAACATTTTCAGTATCGGGAAGACTGAAGACACACATGAGGATTCACACTGGAATCAAGCCTTATCAGTGTGTTGAATGTGGGAGACAATTTACAGAGTCAGGTAGCCTGCAGAAACACATGAGGATTCACAGTGGAATCACGCCTTATCAGTGCATTGTGTGTGAGAAAACATTTACAGTAGCGGGAAGACTGAAGACACACATGAGGATTCACACTGGAATCTAGCCATATCAGTGTGTTGAATGTGGAAAAAGGTTTACACTGCCGCGGAATCTTCGAAAACACATGAGGGTTAACATGGGAATCAACCCGTCTAAGTGTGTTGCATGTGGGAAAGGATTTACAGATTCGCATAGCATGAAGATACATGTGAGGACTCACAGTGGAATCAAACCTTATCAGTGTACTGAATGTGGAAAAGGATTTACCGACTCGAGTAATCTGCAGAGACACACGAGGGTTCAATCCGAAATCAAGCCTTATCAGTGCATTGTTTGTGAGAAAACATTTACATCTGCAAGTGGTCTTAAGAAACACATGAGGATTCACACTGGAATTCAGCTTTAGCGTGGTCAATGTGGGATAGGATTTACAGTGCCAGGTAGCCTGATGAGTCACAGTGTGATCAATTGTTTGAATTGAGCTTGTATACATGTATACATTACAACTGCTAAATAATAAAAAAATCAACGTGTTATCGGTTAATCTTTTATTTCCTGCTTGGACCTCTGATACCATGGGAGTGTTCCGTCTGTTCTGTATGACTACGTCGTTTGGTATGACAAGGCCGTGGATCGAAGCTCTCTCCGGACAGGCGCTCTTCAACTGGACCACGAAGGCATTCAAACGCTGCTTAATCCTCTTAGATGTATCGTCAATTGCGTCCATGTGTATAGAACAGAATTGTATCTACCTAAATACAACTTAAACCTCATTGATGTATCATCAGTATCATCATCAAATAGACACTACTTCATAATTTCATAGAGGCATTTAAAGCAAACACGTTCCCTCGGTATTCTCTACACAATATCTGTCAGAAGTATTCTGTCTGACTTGGTCCGGGCATTTAAAAGCAACCAAAGCCTCTCATATGGATAAAAATAAATACCACTTTATAATGACACAGGTCGTGGCATATAAAGCACACACGTTCATCAAAGTTAAGCTATTTTCCATCTTTATTTTCAGCTTGTACTGTCACAAGTGTCATCAATCAACCTCAGCATCAAGCGTATCATTAGCTGCTACACAGATATGCACGTGAAAATAACAGACTCTGTCCATGAATTGTTTCCATTGTGTAAACGATTTTTTTAATTACGATAAATCACAGTACCTTAAGTAGTATGTATAGAATTCTTTATTCACGAAGAAGTTAGGCCTCCGGCCCATGTTCATACAAGTATTTCTGGTGTCCCCTGCCGTGATATTGCTAAAAGCGGCGTAAAACCATACTCACTCACTCACTCATACAGGTGATCAGTCAGCATATAATGTATGTGACATAGACATCAGTCAATATCGATCCTTTTGAAGCAATATGATTATAAATAAACATAGCCAGGTGTGTGACTATATTCGCATCCGTTGATGCCAAAAACGTATTGTATTTGCGTATATATATTGTGTATAACCTTCCTTACAAAGAGTGCACAGCCTTTTATCTCTTTTAAAAAGACTGCCAGTTTCTATTTTGAGACCATGGTAACGGCAACAAGATTGTGCCATGGCCACACAGGATTTTGAAATTATTATATGCTTAAGGCATAATTCTGTTCCACAGTTACCTTTTGGAAAGTAAAATTTCTAGCTTTAGAATTGCTGAAAAGAAGGGTGTGCCAGTTCCGTTCAAACGGACATCCTAGCCTTGGTATTTGTTCCCGAGGCAGGAATTGAATTTTTACACTTATTTTCTGCTTGTAAAACATATTATCAAATTGTTTTATTCATTCAAATTGAAAGGCCACAGGCCCATAGTTCAACGTATTTACAAGGGAGGGTGTTTCTTCTAACTAACAATGCATGATGTATGTACAATGCAATACTTTGTAATAAAGTTATATTTGAGTTTGACATGAGTATGCAAAACAAATTAATATTTGGGTAAGTTATAAACTTCTTTGGAGTATACTTGTTTCTTAATTGACGATAGAGTTTACACAGAAGCATAAAATGACACTCATTTTCTACAATATTAAGGTTACAAGATGTACAGATATTGTAAGACTTTTTAAATATACCTTTATAGATATTTAAATCATAATATCCTGTTCTGAACTGCGCTGTTATTGTAACATATATTAGATATTCTTCGAGTATATATTTTTGTTTGAAGAGAGAATAGGTATATGTACACTTGCTATTTCTTAGTTTTCTTATCCACATTTGCTGAAATCACACCATCTTTGAAGTAATAATGTCATAAACATCTTGACATTTCCAACACCCTGATCCACCCATGCGTATCCAAGGCCTAAACTGAAAAGGGTGATTTTGATATTTATTGCCCAATTATTTTTATTGCATGAGTGACTGGCATTTTGATCCAAATAGAACAGCATGTTAAAGGCTTTTACTGGGTATCGCGTGGATGGAAGAGTCGTTAGTTTAACCAATAATTTATACAGCGCTTAAGCGAAAATATATACAATGGATATCTGCCACATTCCCCAAGTACAATACCATTTGGGGAGAGCGAACCCCAATTACACGTTTACACGCATAAAGATGAACTTTTTCTATACACTCATATTTTCTATAACCCCATATTTCTGATCCATAAAGTAAAATTGGCATTATCTTTGTCTAAAGAATTTGAAAGTATAAATTACAGGGCAGATTATTATATTCTAACAAACTTAGTAGGATTGACATCAACACTTTCTTAGCTTTAAAAGATGTAGATTCTAGATATTTATTCCAACTCAAAGTCCTTGTACACAATATTCCAAGGTAAGTATAAGATGTGACTACCTCTATATGTGCATCTTTGTATATCCACTTCTCTAATTTTGATAATTTCTCACCGCTTTTAAAAACAAGAACTTTAGTGTTATTTAGATTGACGGACAGTGTCCACTTGTCACAATACTTTTCCAAAATATTGATTTGACGAATCAATTCCCGAATCAGAAAAAAGAACAACATCGTCAGCAAAAAGTAAAAGGAATATTTCTATTAGATCTGGATATAACTGGATGCCATTTTTAGATTTTGAGTTAATTTTGAGAACAACTTCATTTATAATGAAAGAGAACAAGAATGGGCTTAATACACAACCCTGACGCACTCCCAAAGGGCAATCAAACATACTTGTAAGGTTATTGCCATTGGTTCGTTCACAAGCTTTAACTGATTCGTAAATGGCTTTTAATGATTTTTCCATCTTTGATGCCCACCCATGTTTACCAAATAAGTGTCAGAGTTTTTTCTTTGAACGGAATAAAATGCCTTAGCGAAATCAACAAAACATAAAGCATATTATTACACTTTTGTGAATATCTGACGTTTGCCACATACACTAATCTAATCCAAAATCTAACACAAAGGGTATCTGCCACATTCTTCTCAATACTGGGTAATTTGGTGTTGAGGTCAAAGGAAACGTTAACATGCAAACATGGGAATGCTTTCTAGATTTGCTATACTATCCAACCCCCGACATCCGACCTATACAATCAAATAGGCATAAGTTAGCATCAAATATCCTAAAACGGATAGAATGGAATTGACTTATATCTGTGTAATGTCCTTAATATAATAAGAGAGGCCGCACTTTTAGTACCTTATCACGGGATGACGTTTTACTGAACGCACGCACTCAATACATTTCCCTTTATAATATCATTGTTCACTTGTAACTGAGTTCCTGTTTTATTTAATGTTTTTTACACGATCAGGGCTTTCGATTAAGTTTATAAAATAAATAACCAAAGACACACAGATCCAGTCTTACTGTTGTGTCATCATCTATGAAGTCGGGTTCACTAGCTGTTTTGGCATTAAAGTCACCTCCAAGGAAAAAATACGCTTCATCAAAATGTTGTAGTGAGTGAGTTGGGTTTCAACGCCGCTTTAAACAGTATTCCAGTCATATCACGGCGCATACGGGAGGAACGCCCGAAGTGATGCAGGTCTCAGACGTTTACCAGTTCGGTGAAACCCACGAGCACGGGTATGGTGCTGACAAACCTAGAAACATAATCGGGTCGAACCGGGATTCGAACCCACAATCATAGGTTTCTGGCGTGCCCAAGGGACGCAACTCTTCACAGCGAATCGCGGCGCCTTAGACCCGTGCCCCCTCCAAATGTTTTAAGATATCAAGAAGTGAGTCTTGTAACATTCACATCAATATTTTTACGGATTCAGTCTGATACCACACAGAATCATTAGGATGGGTATAGATACACGCGAATAACACATCTTCATCCGATCGAAATAGTGACTTAGATCGTGACGAGCGAACGCTTTAACCACTAGGCTACCCGACCGCCCCCATATCCTATAGAAATCTCTGCAGAAAACACATACTGTGAAATGTACGAGTGTGTGTGATGTATTTTTATTTTCATTCAACTTTAAAGTGAGGATTTTAAATAGTATTTAATGTCATGTCATTTAATGTCTCAGTAGATAGTATTTAATGTCATATCCGACAAGAAATAACTTATAAAACAGAGTTGATATAAGTTTTTATATCCTCACAGCAAAAGATAAAGAGGTGTGTGTGTGTTTGTGTGTGTGTGCGTGTATGTGTATGTGTGTGTGTGTGGGGGGGGGGGGGGGGGGGGGGGGGGGGGACTAGCAATAGTCGTTCGACGTTACCACATTTCTGGCTCTCAGAACTCAGAAATGAACAGAGTTAATCAGGTTTAATCAAGGGTAACTTAGGTGCGTTGGGTTTAACTCCGCTTTTAAAAGTATCCCAGTTATATCACAGCGTGTCAGCTTGATGTGAGAGCAAAGCCCGAAGTGATGGAGGTCTTGGACGTTCACCACTTTGTGTTGACAAACCTAGAAACATAATGGCTAATCGTGATTCGAAACTACAATCATAGGTTCCTGGCGTGTCCACGGGACGCAACTCTGCACAGCGAATTACAGCGCCTTAGACGACTGAGCCACAGCAACCATGACTGTGCTACAACAGACATCTATGAGAAATTAAGAACTGATCCATTGCTTGACAAAGCTGCCGGTGTACATTTTCGTTTCAATGTATATGAAACGAAAAAAAAGGTCTTTATTAATTCAAAAGATTTATATATCAAGAATCGACAGTTAAATTTCTCTCACGCAGAAAAAAACACATTCCATCAATACCTAGTTAATTATAGTTATGAAAATGTGTTTAATCATGATTTAATCACTATATGAAACTTGGTTTCATTACGGATGACGACACGAGATTGCTAACCACAGAACGGTTCCCCAGGAGTTCTGTGGGTATGGCCAACTTGGGTGAACAGAAGGAACAGGTAACAAGAGTGAGTGAGTGAGTTTTAACACGGGTATGGTGCTGACAAACCTACAAACATAATCGGGCCGAACCGGGATTCGAGTGAATTGGGTTTAGCGCCGCTTTTAACATTATTCCAGTTATACCACGGCGTGTCAGCTTAATTTGAGAGGAAAGCCCGAAGTGATGCAGGTCTTAGACGTTTACCACTTTGGTGAAACCCACGAGCACGGGTATGGTGCTGATAAACTTAGAAACATAATCGGGGCGAACCGGGATTCGAACCCACAATTATAGGTTTTGGCGTGCCAAAGGGACACCACTCTGCACAGCGAATCGCGGAGCCTCAGACGACTGTGCCACCCGTACCCCCTCTTAACGGTAATGAGTCCGCGGAAGCCGTTATGTTTGGTCAAAAATGAAAAACTCAAAATGTGAAGAAAAATAGAATGGAATATAAGGAAAACATTTTCCTACTACAGATAGAAAGATTTTAAAGTGTGTGCGTATTTGAAAACAAAAATGAACATGTCATTCCCGAAATATGATGAATGGTTGTTGTCATATATTTAGCATAGATATGTTTGACCTTATCCATCAGACTATCAGATTGTTATCGGTGTATTCCTTGTCGGCTTATCGTTGCTTTAACCTTCACTGGACTGCTGGGCGGTCGGGTAGCCTAGTGGTTAAAGCGTTCGCTCGTCATGCAGAAGACCCGGGTTCGATTCCCGACATGGGTACAATGTGTGAAGCCCATTTCTGGTGTCCCCCGCCGTGATATTGCTGGAATATTGCTAAAAGCGGCGTAAAACCATACTCACTCACTCACTGGACTGCTCTACTATTACAAGGTACATCCCATTGTTAGGGGTATTGGGGGGTCAGGTTTTGCATGTATTTGCATGTATTTGCATGTATTTGCATATATTTGCATGTTTTGCAGCTGAACTCTATGTTACATGTATTATGAACAGGTCCCATCGTAGTATCCGAAGCAAGTTACGCTGTGGCACATTACCCTTACAAATTGAATTTGGTAGATTTGCTAAACCTAGCACACCTTTACAGGATAGAATTTGTAAATTATGTAATAATAACGCTGCAGAAGATGAGATACATTTTCTCATCAATTGTCCATTTTATTCTGACTTAAGATATGATTTATGGTTGAGAATTATAAAGTCTGATCCTACATATTCTAAGTATTTCATTCTCTCCTCTCTCCTATCGACAAGACAGCACTCTTGAATTGTAACACGTATCTAAAACCTTTTGCCGCATTTATTTAAAAAAAACATGTTTGCACGTAGGCAACATTTTATTATTTATAATTGTAATCATTTTTTATTGGGTTTCGCAATCCTGTAAGTATATCATATAAACAATGTTTTTCATTGTTCATTGTGTCCCATATGCCTTTTATTGCCTGATATTGTATGTATTGTATGCACGTTTTTATAATGTTTACACATACAACATGTGACACATAAATAAAACAGTTTCTTCTCATTTTCTTCGTCTGTATTCCGTCCGGCGTTGAACAAACAACAACTTCTTCTGTATTGATTTTGTTGTATTTAGGTATTGAACAGTGTCTGAAGTCTCTTATTCTCATTAAATATTTCGTCCATCAAAACACATTTTGTGAAATACGTAAACACGATTTTGAGCACTTGTCATGAGAAATATAACACGCACGGAAAATGTCATAAAAATATGTATCACGGGATCAGTGAACCGAGCTATAGCAAAATAGACTGGTTCTCTGCCTCTGTTGAAACCAAGAGCAGGGTACGCGTCAGCTCTCACAAGAGCTTCCGCAGCGCCCCTAGCGGGGACTGTTGGCGCTATACATACGTATCACACAACGCTCGGCGGTCATACGCAATGGCGACATTCGAATGAAAGTGACTAAGGCAGAATACAGGATTACATCGCGAATGACTTCGAAGGTACGCTATTTCATAACGTCTGCTTAGCAGCTGTGTCTAGTTTGTTAGCTAGCTATCCATTTGTATCGGAAAGGCGTGTCTGCTCCCTAAGATCGCAAGAAGGATGTTGTATCAGAAAGGCGTGTCAGCTCCTTTAGATCGATATGTTATATGGTATAACGAGACATCTGTGGCGCTATAGCGCAGTAATGGGGCTGGTGCGTACGGTATACTTCCTCGTTGCAATCGATATCAGTGCACTGACTCAACCTCGCATTTTCTCTCCTAACAACACGACTGGTTGTCCTGGAAGGCTGCGCTTGCGCTACTCTAAACGAAACATGGCGGACGTTAACGTTTCTCTAATTTCACATTGAATCCGCTTACATGTTGGAGGAACCTTCTGCTCGTACGATTTGTAGACCGTTCGTCCCATCAATCTCAATCAAGTTTTCTTTTTTCACTAGATGAAAATTTTGAACCATGATTGTGCTACACACGTGCAATGCATCGTGGGAATCGTAGTCAGATATTACTGATGTGCTTAGAGGGCACGGGTGGCCCAATCGTCTCAGGTACCGCGATTCGCGAGACCTATGATTGTGGGTTCGAATCCCGGTTCGCCCCGATTATGTGTCTAGGTTTGTCAGCACCATACCCGTGCTCGTGGGTTTCACCAAAGTAGTAAACGTCTGAGACCTGCATCACTTCGGGCTTTCCTCCCACATTAAGCTGACACGCCGTGATATGACTGGAATACTGTTAAAAGCGGCGTTAAACCCAACTCAACTCAACTCAACTGATGTGCTTAAACACTTAAAACTATCGAAATACCATTATCTGTTCCAATTCCACCGCATCACTCATATTAACAGGCATCAATATACCATTTGGTTCTCAAATTATAATTATCTGCATGTTAAAATGTATTTGTATAAATCTATTGTCTCTTTATGGTTTCCTTCATTGGACTTAATAAAACTAATGAAAGGTCCTGTAATATTGAATATAGAATAAGGCATATTTAAATGATTGACATCCGACCAAGGACGAGTCTTTTTGCTTGGGCATTTTCAATAAAACATACTATAATCTGTTTTATTAACGTTATACGGTACAATATGAGTTTTGAAGTATTTCCGACAGTACTTTAGAAAATATGTTTGGCATTTTCCTTGACTGTTGCAACGTAATACGTCACGAACATGACGCCCCTTGTTACTTGTAGTGAAGGAAGCATTCTTTAAGCTGTTACCAGACACGAAAGTCGTCGCCACAAAAGCGAATTGTAAACTCTGACACATACCCCATTTTCAACAGCGACATGTGCTGAAATATTTCGTGTCAGCTCGCTATTGTCAGCTCGTGTCAGGACATCGTATAATCATCGTATATGATATACTTGAAACTGGGTGAGTGAGTGACACCGGAAAAAAGGCTCCCCACATTGTACCCATGTGGGGAATCGAACCCAGGTTGTCGGCGTGACGAGCCAACACTTAAACCACAAGGTTAACCACTGCCCGACTTGAAACCGAACCTCCATATTGATAACAAAAGCTGAGCATCATTATTACATTAATAATAACAAAGATGAATCTCTATATTATTAATCAAAGAATCGATTCATCATTATTGATAATTATTTTTATGACTTATACCATTTCTACATAACTTTCCAACACATCCATGTGTATTCATTTTTTCACAGGATGACTCAATAGCCATTGCCCTTTCAAAATATAACAGTGGGGTTTATTTCGTTATGGTCCGGGAACGCCATATTTCAACATCAGATAGACCCGGGAAACACGAACTCATAAGTCAAGGGGGCGGTCGGGTAGCCCAGTGGTTAAATCGTTCGCTCGTCACGCCGAAGACCCGGGTTCGATTCCCGACATGGGTACAATGTGTGAAGCCCATTTCTGGTGTCCCAGGTGATATTGCTGGAATATTGCTAAAAGCGGCGTAAAACCAAACACACTCACTCACTCATAAGTCAAGGGATTCGGCTGTATCGCGAGCGCCAAATCGATGGAATAGCCGTGAGGGAGGTGAACCGGGAATGCATACCGTTTTATGATAAAACCGAGGCATACCGAAATACATGAGTAGAAATACTCTTTATGATATAAACGAGGTATTCAGAGTTATTGACTGTTGCAACTAGTGAGTCTTCTCACGATGCGCATGTGTTACTTGAACTGGCTCGATGTTTCTGTAGGTGCTCCCCGAGTTTCACCATAGTGAGTGAGTGAATTGGGTTTAACGCCGCTTTTAACATTATTCCAGTTATATCACGGCGTGTCGGCTTAATGTGGGAGGAAAGCCCGAAGTGATGCAGGTCTCAGACGTTTACCACTTCGGTGAAACCCACGAGCACGGGTATGGTGCTGACAAACCTAGAAACATAATCGGGGCGAACCGGGATTCGAACCCACAATCATAGGTTTCTGGCGTGCCCAAGGGACGCAACTCTGCACAGCGAATCGCGGCGCCTTAGACGACGGGGCCACCCGTGCCCCCAGTTTCACCATAAGCTCCGTGCATTTATTCATGTTGAGTCAACAACAACAAAATGTTTGGGCCGATACTTTAAAACTGCACCCCAACTGTATTGCGAAACGAAAATATTTCTTCACGGTTTTCTATACTTATAGGGGGCGATCGGGTAGCCTAGTGGTTAAAGCGTTCGCTCGTCACGCCGAAGGTGAGGTGAGGTGAAATTGGGTTTAACGTCGCGTCCAAGATTATTGCACTTATATAGCGACGTGCATGCACGTGTATGTGTGTGTGTGGCTGCTTGTACTAGTCCGGACTGATGCCGATTTATAGTGCTAGCTCACTGAGATACCATGCCGCAGTTTAACATGAATACCCCACTCAGACACAGTATACTGACTCCGAGCCGACCAGTCCTTGTTTTAGCCCCCTTAATGCCGAGCGCCAGACAGGGTAACAACAAGTACAATCTTTTAACGTCTTTTTGTATGACGCGGCCCGGGATCGAACCCTGGACCTTCCGCTCTCCGGGCGGACGCTCTACCACAAGACCACGGAGGCGGTCTATACTTATAGGGGGCGGTCGGGTAGCCTAGTGGTTAAAGCGTTCGCTCGTCACGCCGAAGACCCGGGTTCGATTCCCGACATGGGCACAATGTGTGAAGCCCATTTCTGGTGTCCCTCGCCGTGATATTGCTAGAATATTGCTAAAAGCGGCGTAAAACCATACTCACTCACTCACTCACTCACTATACTTATAGGCACCAAAAACTCTACACATGTACCCAGCAAACGTAATTCAAAAACGTTTTTATTATTTCAACAATATCATTAAAGGTACAGTACACCACGGTTATAACGAACTGAAAAGGGACCCCCCCCATTTTAGTTCGTAATAACCGTAGTTCGTTATAAGCATATATACAGCATATTTGCAAAACATGGCCGGGGCTAACAAGTAAGTTCGTTATATCGGTCAGTTCGTTATAAGCGTGTTCGTAATAACCGTAGTTTACTGTACTCTCGTGTCACTGGTTCATCGATCACTTGATTTGTTTACAGGCTGACGTTGCATGGCAGGAGTACTGCTGTGACGCGTCAGGCAATAAATATTTTTTTATGCAAATTGTATGAATGGCGGCTGCTACCGGTAGGGCAGGACACGCCTACCCTTTACCCGAACACCTGGTGTCATCACTGAATGACCCATTCATGTAATATCCACAACTGTTTGCCCTTTACACCAAGTGGAATCTGTTTCGGCAGAAAATCTAGGATGGTTACTCTCTTGCGTTGACATTTATGTTTACAGACAAAGCGCTTAAGAAGATCAAAACTATTAAAGAGTTATTGGACCCGTGAAGATTCCGGGGTAGAATAGGTCTTCAGCAACCCATGCTTGCCGTAAAAGGCGACTATGCTTATCGTAAGAGGCGACTAACGGGGTCGGGTGGTCAGGCTCGCTGATTTGGTTGATGCATGTCATCGATCCCAATTGCATGGATCGATGCTCATGCTATTAATCACTGGATTGTCTGATCAAGACTCGGTTATTTACAGACCGCCGTCATATAGCTGGAATATTGCTGAGTGCGGCGTTAAACAACAAACCACACCAAAAAGGTTATTGACCATGTTTACTGTTGAAGAGAATCTCAAGTCATTGACAGTGTGTACTGCTGCAGCGAGTCTACTCACGATTCGAATGTGTTTACAAATAAAGAGCGTCATATGATTCTTGCTCAGAAGTTGTTTGATCAAGGTTAAAATTTCAAGGCCCCCGTAAAACTTTCGAAACGTTTTATGGTAGACATGTGGAGGACATTTCCAAGTTTGTCGCATTAGTGAAAACAATGATGCCCGACGCAATTCCCTATTTTGACTTGTACCACATGTTTCCGTGTTTTTTGATTGGTGAACAGTTGACTTGTCTTTGCATGTTTTGGTTTGGGCAGGATACGCTCATCTTTTCGCGAACACCTGGTATCATCACTATTTGATTTGATTCATAAACACATGCTCAAAGAAATAGTCGGAATCGTACAATCGACTCTGATTTCTATTGGACATGAAAAGGGTTTTGTCGCTGCATTCGAACTCATCTAGCGGTCGAAGACGAAAACGACGCTGACCCCTACCATCTATGGAGATGAAATATCAACTCAAAGAGAAGGTAGACACAATTTTTTGGATAACATCTTCTTTAATACAGTAAAAAGCGACGTTTCGGTATAGATCCTTATACCGTTGTCAAACAAGACTGAATTGTGTCTACCTTGTCATCCGCCAACTTCTAAGTAATGGCTATTAAACAATTTCAACTCGAAGACGTCACCAGGAAGTTGTTGCTGAGGGCGATTACATCCTTCAGTTCTATGAAGACTATCCTTTACAGACAATCCCATGTCACATGACCATCCGATGTCTTCCTGCCTCACGTCCCGAGATACTGCTTGAAGACAAGTTCTCCAACACTGAAGGCGGCGGCCAGTTCCTTGACAGAATCGCCCATGAAATCCTTCTATTCACCGCTACTAAGAATATTGAACACCTATATGCAGCCGATATTCTATACTGTGATGGTACATTTTCTACTGCTCCACGCCTGTTTGAGCAGATCTACTGCCTTTACTGCTGAGTTCGAAGGTCACTTGTTCCCCTTAGTATATGAGCTCCTACCCAATAAAACAGAAGCTACATATGTGCGGGAATTCGAATATTTGCATGAAAAGGCACATAACCTGATCCCATTTGTCAGACGACCCAATCAACAGACACACCAGTCAAGTGTGACCAATGTTACTGCCTGGTATTATTAACGAATGAGCTGTGGGCACAGTAAGCTACTCCAACTATAATTATGATTGTGTTTATAAGCTTTATTCTTAAGGACTTAGAGTAGTTTTTTTTCAATGATTTAGAATATAGGGAATTCAATGAAGATAAATAAAAAACCTTTTACCGTTGAGTTTGTGTTGCTTTATTTTCATGAAATACAATTTTAGGGAAAATAAGAACACATTAAATACCAGAATATTAAACTTTTCCATAACCTGAGTATAATCTCATATGTGCCGTACTATATTACATGAATTCAGTAAGGTACGTATCACCAACATGGCTGGTTCACGCAAAGTACAAGGAGTGGAGTACACTGAGTCTCATAAATGAACCTCACAAGTAGTCCTTGATGGGTTCACCTACTCTAAGAATCGAACCAGAGGCCAGACCACACACTGGAGATGTATCACCAGAACCTGTCGAGGGAAATGTTCCACTGTTTTTGACTTCTTTAAAGCTGTATCGGACCACTGCCATCCACTTGGAGATCCGTCCAGGGAAGAAGCAACACCTGTCCAGACTAACTATAATGCAGAAGTAGGCCGCCAAACTCCAGAACACGTTCCATATGTTCCTTCCTTCCCCAGCTTGAAGAGTATACTCTATCGATACGTCGAACAACCATTCCTGTCCTGCCACAGAGCAGAGCTGATATTCACCTTGAGGGGCAGTGGACCACTACCAGGGATGGTGAAAGATTTCCCATCTTCACAGACGGGGATAAAGACCAGATCCTGATCTTTTCCACTGATGAGCAGCCAGCTGAGGTGTCTTGCTGAAGCCGATACGGTCTACATGGATGGTACGTGTTGCCCGTGTCAACTGCAGTCTTCCACATCAGCATCCCAGCCAGTACAAATCTGTGTGCTTACTTCAAGGCATTGAATGACAGAATGACACAAATAGACTTTGGTGATGCTCCCCCGCCGAGCTTAGCGGTCAACAGAGAGTTTGTCAGTGGGCAAAAGATATCTCTTGAATTCTTGGATGCTGTTGGACGTTACCTGAAGCTGGGCTGAAAAAGACATTGTACTTATCAGTGTATATTGTGTATAGTGTGTCTTTTGAAATAATGTTATGAAATACATCCTGTAAGTAATTTAAACTATGCAACTTCTTGTAAACACTTCCATATGAGTATGTAGTGTATTTCTAATAATGTGATAATATTATATCTTACATAAATTAATACCATTTCTACTTCAAAACGTGTGATTGCTTGAATGATTTCAAAATTAAAAGTGTATAATTAACCTGTCATACCAAATTCCTCGAAATGTGTGTTTTCGAGTCTGTTCCACTTTAATCAAAGGTAAACAGGCACGTATTGCTTGACAAACCGACCTAGACTAATTCTGGTATAAGCTGTCTGACAAATGGAAGGTAACCAATAGTGGTAATGGTACGGCAATTAATCAACTGAAGACCCGTTATAGTAAAGACTATTTCAAATCACATAACTGTCATTAAGTACTGGATGTGGAATATCACTGTGCTAAGATATTATCAGTGTGTTGAATTTGAAAAAAACCCATTTACAGTATCAAGTATTTTATCATGATAGATATAATATCATAATCAAAATGGGTGTGGCTCCAGCCCTAGTTGTTGCTGGTGGTTTCTTGTGGAAACATATATAGGAAACGCATTAATGATAGAGGCAAGTGACAACTGTTTTATGTTTTCAGTGAACACCATACCATCCCTGAGGTAATAAGGAAAGTTCAAAGCCAGCCACAGAATCCTGGCTTTTTTACTGAAACATATGACATCATGGACTGTGAGGGAGAATTGCTGGGAACAGATGATGTCAAGAAACACTCTGTAAATGACACGCTAGAAACAGGTGATCTAAAGCAACACAAAGATTATGGTGGTCAAGCAAAACAGTCTCAAAAGTGTATTGCGTCCGGGGAAACATGTCTTAAATCGGGTGACATGAAACGACACATGTTTTGTCACAGAGAAGTCAAGCCTTTTCATCATGTTAGACGTCGGAAAACCTTTACAAAATCAGGCGTCATGCAGACTCACATGAGGATCAACAGTCGCTTCAGGCGTTATCAGTGCAATGTGTGTGAGAAAACATTTACACTATCAGGCACTCTGAAGACACACATGAAGATTCACAGTGGAATCAAGCCTTTTAAGTGTAGTGTGTGTGAGAAAACATTTACACTATCAGGCACTTTGCAGATACACATGAGGATCCACAACGGAATCAAGCCTTATCAGTGCAGTGTGTGTGAGAAAACATTTACACAATATGGTGCTCTGCAGCAACACATGAGGATTCACAGTGGAATCAAACCATTTAAGTGTAGTGTGTGTGAGAAAACATTTGCATCATCAAGTGCTCTGCTGGCACACATGAGGATTCACAGTGGAATCAAACCTTATCAGTGCAGTGTGTGTGAGAAAACATTTACAGCATCAGGTACTCTGCAGAAACACATGAGGATTCACACTGGAATGAAGCCTTTTAAGTGCAGTGTGTGTGAGAAAACATTTACAGCATCAGGTACTCTTCAGAAACACATGAGGACTCACAGTGGAATGAAGCCTTATCAGTGCAGTGCGTGTGAGAAAACTTTTACAGCATCAGGTTATCTGGAGAAACACATGAAGATTCACAGTGGAATCAAGCCTTTAAAGTGTAGTGTGTGTGAGAAAACATTCAAAGCATCAAGTGTTCTGCAGGCACACATGAGGATTCACACTGGCATCAAACCTTTTCAGTGCAGTGTGTGTGAGAAAACATTTACACTATCATGCACTCTTCAGATACACATGAGGATTCACAGTGGAATCAAGCCTTTTAAGTGTAGTGTGTGTGAGAAAACATTTACAATATCTGGTAATCTGAAGACACACATGAGGATTCACAGTGGAATCAAGCCTCATCACTGTGTTAAATGTGGGAAAGGATTTACACACTCGTGTAGACTGAAGAGACATATGACGAGCCACAGTGGAATCAAGCCTCATGAGTGCACTGTGTGTGAGAAAACATTTACGTCACCAGCTATTCTGAACAGACACATGATGATTCACACTGGAATCAAACCTTTTCAGTGTAATGTGTGTAAGAAAAAATTCACAGTATCACATTCTCTGCAGAGGCATATGAGAATTCACAAAGGAATCAAACCTTATCAGTGTGTTGAATGTGAGAAAACATTTACACATTCAAGTAGTCTGAAGACACACATGAGGCTGCACAGTGGAATCAAACCTTATCAGTGCATTGTGTGTGAGAAAACATTTACACATTCAAATAGTCTGAAGGCACACATGCTCATTCACAGTGACATAAAACGCTTTCAGTGTGTTGAATGTGGGAAAACATTCGGACTATCATCTAACCTGAAGAGCCACATGATGATTCACAGTGACATCAAGTCTTATCAATGTGTTGAATGTGATAAAACATTCAGACAATCATCTCACCTGAAGAGCCACATGAGGATTCACAGTGGAATCAAGTCTTATCAATGTGTTGAATGTGATAAAACATTCAGACAATCATATCACCTGAAGAGCCACATGAGGATTCACAGTGGAATCAAGCCTTATCAATGTGTTGAATGTGATAAAACATTCAGACAATCATCTCACCTGAAGAGCCACATGAGGATTCACAGTGGAATCAAGCCTTATCAGTGTGTTGAATGTGGGAAAACATTTAAATATTCAGCTCGCCTGAAAATACACATGAGCATCCCCTGTGGAATCAAACCGTATCAGTGTCTTGTGTGTAAGAAAACATTCACAGTATCAGGTACTCTGCAGAGACACATGGTGATTCACAGTGGAATCAAACCTTATCAGTGTCTTGTGTGTGAGAAAACATTTACATATTCATTTAGTCTGAAGACACACATGAGCATTCACAGTGGAATCAAGCCTTATCAGTGTGTTGAATGTAGGAAAACATTTACAGCATCAGGTAGCCTGAAGACACACATGAGGCTGCACAGTGCAATCAAGCCATATCAATGCACTGTTTGTAAGAAAACATTCAAACAATCTCTCTATCTTAAGTTACACATGGAAAGTCACAGTGGAATTAGGCCTTATCAGTGTGTTGAATGTGGCAAATCATTTGTACGCCCAGGAGGCCTGCAAAAGCACACATTGATTCATAGTGGAATCAAGCCTCACCAGTGCACTGTGTGTGAGAAAACATTTAGAACATCAAGTAATCTGAAGACACACATGGGGATTCACAGTGACATCAGGCCTTATAAATGTGTTGAATGTGGAAAAGGATTTAAACGATCACAACATCTTCAGAGACACATGAACATTCACAGTTGAATCAAGCCTTAATCAGTGCGACCGCCTCCGGGGTTCGATCCCCGGCCGCCTCATACCAAAAGACCTTAAAAGATTGTACTTGTTGTTACCCTGTCTGGCGCTCTGCATCAAAGGGCTAAAACTAGGACTGATCGGCTCGGAGTCAGTATGCTGTGTCTGAGTGGGGTATCCATGTTAAACTGCGGCATGATATAAATCTGCATCAGTCCGGACTAGTACAAGCAGACACACACACACACGCACGCACGCACACACACACACACACACACACACTCACACTCACACACACACTCACACACACGTGCATGCACGTCGCTATATAAGCGCAATAATCTTGGACGCGACGTTAAAGCCAGCTTCACCTCATCTTAATCAGTGCACTGTATGTGAGAAAACATTTAGAACATCAGGTAACCTGAAGACACACATGAGGATTCACAGTGGAATCAAGCCCTATCAGTGTGTTGAATGCGGGAAAACATTTACAATATTCATCTCACCTGCAATCACACATGAACATTCACAGTGGATTAAAGCCTTATGAATGTGTAGAGAAGCATTTTCACGATCTTTTCTTCTGCACACATAAGGTTACACATAAGGATTCACAGCGGAACCAAGCCTTATCAGTGCACTGTGTGAAAAAAAACACCCATTTACATTATCGTGGGGATTTGCAAAGCAATCTAGCCTCGTAGTGCCTTGTGTTTGAAATACATTTACAGGACAAGGCACTCTGAAGACAAACATAAACATTCGCAATTGAATCAAGCCTTTTCAGTGTGGTGAATGTGGGAAAGTGTTTACATTATATGTTCACTTGATCGGACCAGACTTATTTTCGTGATTTCGTGTATTTTCGTGATTTTATTTTCATATTGACGTGTGCATATTTCATTTTCAATTCATGAAATTCAGGCTTCACATTTGCCATGTATTTTTTTATGAAGGCTATTTTCAAGCTTTCATGGTTACATTCTAGTGTAAGGGTTTTTCCCACTACAACGGAGGAAGGTGCAGTACAAACAGTCCTGTCGAGACCTGACAATTATACCGGTTACATAGTAACATTTGATGACATATACTCAGGAGTGTGGCTGCACCATGAAGCATGAGCATCACAAGGGTGTATCGGTTGTCGTAAAACCATTATGAAATGCAATTTAGTTGCCTGTAAGATAAGATAATATCCATTTCTAGTTTTGATTATATGAACCGAAATTTATTCTGTGGGTTTTACGTTTTGAATTTCCTGTACCTAATTCTTCTTGAATAAAAAATTGTAAACTCAATATGAAAAAACCTTTTTACAAAGTAGACTGTAGATATATCGAACTAGATAAGTGTCTATTAACTTCCGAATCAGATTACTTTGGTGAAAACTGTATTATAGTATACAAACATATGTCATATGTCACATGCTATGTATTCAGTCTTCGTTTGTGATACATCTGTACAATTTCATGACGTTTTACACCTTCGAGGCCGTTAACACTGACATCATTAGTAGGGGCTTCGTGTAAAGTTCTGTTGACTCAAACGCAAAAAACACAAGGATCAAAGTAAATGTTAATGTCCAGTGCTTGACAAGGCAAATACGTCTTCCTGTGCTCAAAACAGAAATTTTACGCTTTCCTATTTTTCAGGGATAATTACGTATTAGGCAACAAGTACTTATGTAACAGCTTTATGACGTCATTATTCCAGAGCATAACCCTATCACCTGTGGTTGTCGTCATTCCCCTGGTCATCAGTGCAATACCCATGGATGTTAAGTATAAAAAACCAAGAGATAACGGATTGAATATTCCAACTGTGTGTCAGGTTTCTTAACGCTTAATTATGTTTTCTGGAGAATTTGTTTTTTATACAAGCGCTATACAACATATATTAATATTTATACGAAAAGGCCTGCGTGTGAAGGTAGATTTAAATACGTTTAACTAGGTAACAGAGATGTTAACATCTTTTTACTCGGTAACCTTTTGATCCATTCAAACGATAGTTTTGTTTGTTGTTTTACGCCGCACTCAGCAATATTCCAGCTAAAAGACGGCGGTCTGTAAAATAATCGAGTCTCGACCAGGCAATCCAGTGATTGACATCATGAGCATCGATCCACGCAATTTGGATCGATGACATATATCAACCAAGTCAGCGAGCCTGACCACCCGATCCCGTAAGTCGCCTTTTATGACAAGCCTTTTACGGCAAGTATGGGTTGCCGAAGGCCTATTCTACTCAAGAATCTTCACGGGTCTAATGAACCTGTCATATAAATTCCTCAAAATGTGTGTTTTCGGGTCTGTTCCACTTTAATCAAAGGTAAACGTATTACTTGACTTTTTTACAGTATCAAGTATTTTATCACGATACATATAATATCACAATAAAAATGTATGTGGCCCCAGCCCTAGTTGTTGCTGGTGATGTCTTGTGGAAACATATATAGGAAACGCATTAATCTGATAGAGGCAAGTGACAACTGTTTTATGTTTTCAGTGAACACCATACCATCCCTAAGTTAACAATGGCAGTACAAAGCCAGCCACAGAATCCTGGCTTTTTTACTGAGACATATGAAATCATGGACTGTGAGGGAGAATTGCTGGGAACAGGTGATCTCAAGAAACACTCTGTTACTGATACGCTGGAAACAGGTGATCTCAAGAAACAATCTGTAAATGACACACTGGAAGGAGGTGATCTCAAGAAACAATCCGTAAATGACACACTGGAAGGAGGTGATCTCAAGAAACAATCCGTAAATGACACACTGGAAGGAGGTGATCTCAAGAAACAATCTGTAAATGACACACTGGAAGGAGGTGATCTCAAGAAACAATCCGTAAATGACACACTGGAAGGAGGTGATCTCAAGAAACAATCTGTAAATGACACACTGGAAGGAGGTGATCTCAAGAAACAATCCGTAAATGACACACTGGAAGGAGGTGATCTCAAGAAACAATCCGTAAATGACACACTGGAAGGAGGTGATCTCAAGAAACAATCTGTAAATGACACACTGGAAGGAGGTGATCTCAAGAAACAATCCGTAAATGACACACTGGAAGGAGGTGATCTCAAGAAACAATCTGTAAATGACACACTGGAAGGAGGTGATCTCAAGAAACAATCCGTAAATGACACGCTGGAAGGAGGTGATCTCAAGAAACAATCTGTAAATGACACACTGGAAGGAGGTGATCTCAAGAAACAATCCGTAAATGACACACTGGAAGGAGGTGATCTCAAGAAACAATCCGTAAATGACACACTGGAAGGAGGTGATCTCAAGAAACAATCCGTAAATGACACACTGGAAGGAGGTGATCTCAAGAAACAATCTGTAAATGACACACTGGAAGGAGGTGATCTCAAGAAACAATCCGTAAATGACACACTGGAAGGAGGTGATCTCAAGAAACAATCTGTAAATGACACACTGGAAGGAGTTGATCTCAAGAAACAATCCGTAAATGACACACTGGAAGGAGGTGATCTCAAGAGACAATCCGTAAATGACACACTGGAAGGAGGTGATCTCAAGAAACAATCTGTAAATGACACACTGGAAGGAGGTGATCTCAAGAAACAATCTGTAAATGACACACTGGAAGGAGGTGATCTCAAGAAACAATCCGTAAATGACACACTGGAAGGAGGTGATCTCAAGAAACAATCCGTAAATGACACACTGGAAGGAGGTGATCTCAAGAAACAATCCGTAAATGACACACTGGAAGGAGGTGATCTCAAGAAACAATCCGTAATGACACGCTGGAAGGAGGTGATCTCAAGAAACAATCAGTAAATGACACACTGGAAGGAGGTGATCTCAAGAAACAATCAGTAAATGACACACTGGAAGGAGGTGATCTCAAGAAACAATCTATAAATGACACGCTGGAAGGAGGTGATCTCAAGAAACAATCTATAAATGACACGCTGGAAACAGGTGATCTCCAGCAACACAAATATTATGGTGGTCCAGCAAAACAGTCTCAAAACTGTAGTGTGTCCGGGGAAACATGTAGTAAATCAGGTGACGTGAAAAGGCACATGCTTTCTCACAGTGGAATCAAGCTTTTTCATTATGTTCGATGTGGGAAAACATTTACAAAATCAGGTGTCATGCAGAAACACATGAGGATCAACAGTTGCTTTAGGCGTTATCAGTGTATTGTGTGTGAGAAAACATTTACAATATGTGGTAATCTGCTGGCCCACATGAGGATTCACAGTGGAATCAAGCCTCATCAGTGTAGTGTGTGTGAGAAAACATTTACACTATCAGGCACTCTGCAGATACACATGAGGATCCACAGCGGAATCAAGCCTTATCAGTGCAGTGTGTGTGTGAGAAAACATTTACACAATATGGTACTCTGCAGCAACACATGAGGATTCACAGTGCAATCAAACCATTAAAGTGTAGTGTGTGTGAGAAAACATTTGCATCATCAAGTGCTCTGCAGGCACACATGAGGATTCACAGTGGAATCAAACATTTCAAGTGCAATGTATGTAAGAAAACATTTACACATTCAGGTAATCTGCAGGCACACATGAGGATTCACAGTGGAAACAAACCTTATAAGTGTAGTGTGTGTGAGAAAACATTTACAGCATCAGGTACTCTGCAGAAACACATGAGGATTCACACTGGAATGAAGCCTTTTAAGTGTAGTGTGTGTGAGAAAACATTCACAGCATCAACTGGTCTCCATGCACACATGAGGATTCACAGTGGAATCAAACATTTTAAGTGCAATGTATGCGAGAAAACATTTACACATTCAGGTAATCTGCAGGAACACATGAAGATTCACACTGGAATGAAGCCTTATAAGTGTAGTGTGTGTCAGAAACCATTTACAGCATCGGGTGGTCTGAAGAGGCACATGAGGATTCACATTGGAATCAAGCCTTATAAGTGTAGTATGTGTGAGAAAACATTTACAGAGCCAGGTGGTCTGAAGAGGCACATGAGGATTCACAGTGGAATCAAGCCTCATCAGTGCAGTATGTGTGAGAAAACATTTACAGAGTCAGGTACTCTGCGGACACACATGAGGATTCACAGTGGAATCAAGCCTCATGAGTGCAGTATGTGTGAGAAAACATTTACAGTATCGGGTGGTCTGAAAAGGCACATGAGGATTCACAGTGGAATCAGACCTCATAAGTGTAGTATGTGTGAGAAAACATTTACAGAGCCAGGTGGTCTGAAGAGGCACATGAGGATTCACAGTGGAATCAAGCCTCATCAGTGCAGTATGTGTGAGAAAACATTTACAGAGTCAGGTACTCTGCGGACACACATGAGGATTCACAGTGGAATCAAGCCTCATGAGTGCAGTATGTGTGAGAAAACATTTACAGTATCGGGTGGTCTGAAAAGGCACATGAGGATTCACAGTGGAATCAGACCTCATAAGTGTAGTATGTGTGAGAAAACATTTACAGAGCCAGGTGGTCTGAAGAGGCACATGAGGATTCACAGTGGAATCAAGCCTCATCAGTGCAGTGTGTGTGAGAAAACTTTTACAGAGTCAGGTACTCTGCAGATGCATATGATGATTCACAGCGGAATTAGGCCTTATCAGTGTGTTAAATGTGGGAAAACATTCACACGGTCAGCCCATCTGCAGTCCCACATGAGGAGTCACAGTGGCATCAAACCTTATCGGTGCATTGTATGCGAGAAAACATTTGCAGTATCAAGTAAACTTCAGAGACACATAAGGATTCACAATGGAATCAAACCTTATACGTGCATTGTGTGTGAGAAAACATATGCAGACTCAGGTACTCTAAAGAGGCACATGAGGATTCACAGTGGAATCAAACCGTATCAGTGTATTGTGTGTGAGAAAACATTTGCAGAATCAGGTGACCTGAAGAAGCACATGAGGATTCACAGTGGAATCAAACCATATAAATGTAGTGTATGTGAGAAAACATTTACAGAATCCGTCACTCTGAAGCGGCACACGAGGATTCACAGTGGAATCAAGCCTTATCAGTGTATTGAATGTGGGAAAGGATTTATAACGTCAGCTATACTTCTGAATCATATGAAGATTCACAGTGGCATAAAACCCTATCAGTGTGTTGAATTTCGGAAAACATTCACACAATTAGGCAACCTGAAGTCACACATGAGGATTCACAGTGGCATAAAACCTTATCAGTGTGTTGAATGTGGGAAAACATTCACACAATCAGGCAGCCTGAAGTCACACATGAGTATTCACAGTGCAATCAAGCCATATCAATGCACTGTTTGTAAGAAAACATTTAAACAATCTCTCTATCTTAAGTTACACATGGAAAGTCACAATGGAATTAGGCCTTATCAGTGTTTTGAATGTGGAAAAACATTTGTAAGTTCAAGAGGCCTGCAAAAGCACACACTGATTCACAGTGGAATCAAGTCTCATCAGTGCAATGTGTGTGAGAAAACATTTAGAACATCAGGTAATCTGAAGAGACACATGAACATTCACAGTGGAATCAAGCCTTAATCAGTGCACTGTCTGTGAGAAAACATACAATACACTGATAAGTCTTATCAGTGCACTTTGTGAAAGAAAACCATTTACAACATTGGGTTCTCTGCAGAAACACGTTTGGATTCGCAAAGGAATCTAACCTCATCGTGCCTTGTGTTTAAGATACATTTACTGGACAAGGCACTCTTCAGACATACATGAACATTCGCAGTGGAGTCAAACATTATCAGTGTGGTGAATGTGGGAAAGGAATTACATTATCTGTTCACCTGAAAACCCCCCACAATGATTCACTGTGGAATCAAACCTTAACAGTGCACTGTGTGTGAGAAAACATTCACAAAATTAGGTAATCTGAAGATATACTTGAGGATTCACAGTGGAATCTAGCCTATGAATGTGTTGAATGTGGAAAAGGATTTACACATGCAGCTCATCTTCAGAGACACATGGACATTCACAGTGGAAACAGGCGTTATCAGTGGGTTGAACGCGGTAAAGGATTTACACAATCTGTTCACCTGCGATCCCATATGATTAGTCACAATGGAATCAAGCCTTACCAGTGCATTGTGTGTAGGAAACCATATACAGTATCAGATACTCTGGGGAGATACATGAGGATTCTTATAGGAATCTACCCCTATCAGTGTTGGTTGAATTGAGTGGTATGAGTTTGTACAGTACAATTGATAAATGATAATTCACTTGATCGGACCAGACTTTCTTGTATTTTCGTGATTTTATTTTCATATTGACGTGTGCATATTTCATGTTCAATTCATGAAATTCAAGCTTCGTATTTGCCATGTATTTTTTTATGAAGGCTATTTTCAAGCTTTCATGGTTACATTTGGGTTTGAGGGTTTCTTTCCACTACAACGGAGGAATGTCCTGTCGAGACTTGACAATTATACAATTGACATAACCCTATCACCTGTGGTTGTCGTCATTCCCCTGGTCATCAGTGCAATACCCATGGATGTTAAGTATGAAAAACAAGAGATAAAGGATTGAATATTCCAACTGTGTGTCAGGTTTCTTAATGCTAAATTATTTTTTCTGGAGAATTTGTTTCTTATACAACATTTCAATATTAAAATATATTAATATGTATGCGTCAAGGTCTGCGTGTGAAGGTAGATTTAAATATGTTTAACTAGGTAACAGAGATGTTAACATTGTTTTACTCGGTAACATTTTGATCCATTCAAACGATAGTTTTGTTTGTTTGTTGTTTTACGCATTCAGCAATATTCCAGCTAAAAGACGGCGGTCTGTAAAATAATCGCGTCTGGACCAGACAGTCCAGTGATTGACATCATGAGCATCAATCCACGCAATTGGGATCGATGACATATATCAACCGAGTCAACGAGCCTGACCACCCGACCCCGTTAGTCGCCTTTTACGACAAGCATAGTCGCCTTTTATGGCAAGTATGGGTTGCCGAATGCGTATTCTATCCGGAATCTTCACGGGTCTCAAACGATAGAAGCACATCACACTTGAAATTGGAAGCACAACAAAATTGTTGTTGTCGTATAATCGATGGTACAGTATGGTATTTAGAAAACAAGGTTTTGGTAGATTTGTATTGATATTCAAGACATCTATTTCAATTCAGTTGCTTCACCACTGTACATGCATAATTGTTATAACGTCACTGTATTGTTCCATCTGTGTATTGTTTCTCACTAACAATTTCCTAAAAATACATGTAGCTGAAACCCCCTGTCAATATTACCTTGTTCACCATGTGCATCAGGTTTGTGTAGCCACATCTCTACACATTCAACCGCCTGTTTCATTTCGATACATGTGTAGTTGGTTGTATTTGTGCGTTTGCGTTTATTTATATATGTCAAAGAAAGACCCTCATTCTTTCTTTATGAAACGAAACGTCGGTATGATCACACACAAAACTTTATTATTTCATTATGTTATTGCCTGTTTGCTAGTCCATAAAATAAACAAACCAATATTGTTTTTTGTACAATGCCTTTGTCAGTCAGAATGTATCAGGGGTCGAACACTACCCCACAATTCCCTACTAATAGAGGGTCAATTCCCCACACCCATCAATATTTTTATGAATGAACATGAATTTATTGTGTGGAGTACAGACAAATTTCACAAAGTATATGCTGTACTTTTTGCGTACATGGAGGAGTGAGTATGGTTACATGTCGCTTTTAGCAATATTCCAGAAATATCACGGCGGGGGACACCAGAAAATGGGCTTCACACATTGTACCTATGTCAGGATTCGAACCCGGGCCTTCGGTGTGACGAGCGAAGGCTGTAACCACTACGCTACCCGACCGCCCCTTACATGGAGGAAGGTATTTAGTTTAAATGCAAATGATTTGCTAACTGTTTCTAATAACTAGTATAGGATATTTGAAATGGCTAAAACTGGAGAAAGCATGACATTAGTGATATGTGTGACATGTTGTCATGTTAACGTTATTCTTGACATTTTCAAAGAACTAAAACAAATGGAATTAAATTAAATATGAAATTGAGACAAGAAATTAGAATCCAATGTTTTTCATACAAACGTCTCCGTTAATTAAACAGCGGTTGTTATTTTGTACTTGTCTAGAGGAATCCTATTTCCAAAACCCTCTCTCACTCTGTAACGGTGTAAAATGTAAACATACTCTGTTACAGTATATAATGTAAAATTACTCTGTTACAGTACAAAATGTAAACATACTCTATTACAGTGTATAATGTAAACATACTCTGTTACAGTGTATAATGTAAACATACTCTGTTACAGTATATAATGTAAAAATTCTCTGTTACAGTTTATAATGTAAAATTACTCTGTTACCGTATATAATGTAAACATACTCTGTTACAGTATATAATGTAAATATACTCTGTTACAGTTTATAATGTAAAAATACTCTGTTACAGTTTATAATGTAAAAATACTCTGTTACCGTACATAACATAAACATACTCTGTTACAGTATATAATGTTAAAATACTCGGTTACAGTGTATAATGTAAACATACTCGTTTACAGTAATAATGTAAACATACACTGTTACAGTATATAATGTAAACATTCTCTGTTACAGTATATAGTGTAAAAATACCGTGTTACAGTACATAATGTAAAAATACTCGGTTACTGTATATAATGTAAACATACTCTGTTAAAGTATATAATGTAAAAATACTCTGTTGCCGTACATAATGTAAATATACTCGGTTACAGTACCTAATGTAAACATACTTTGTTACAGTATATAATCTGAAAATACTCTGTTACAGTTTATAATGTAAAAATACTCTGTTACCGTACATAACATAAACATACTCTGTTACAGTATATAATGTTAAAATACTCGGTTACAGTGTATAATGTAAACATACTAGTTAACAGTAATAATGTAAACATACTCTGTTACCGTATAAAATGTAAACATACTCTGTTACAGTATATAATGTAAATATACTCTGTTACAGTTTATAATGTAAAAATACTCTGTTACAGTTTATAATGTAAAAATACTCTGTTACCGTACATAACATAAACATACTCTGTTACAGTATATAATGTTAAAATACTCGGTTACAGTGTATAATGTAAACATACTAGTTAACAGTAATAATGTAAACATACACTGTTACAGTATATAATGTAAACATTCTCTGTTACAGTATATAGTGTAAAAATACCGTGTTACAGTACATAATGTAAAAATTCTCGGTTACTGTATATAATGTAAACATACTCTGTTAAAGTATATAATGTAAAAATACTCTGTTGCCGTACATAATGTAAATATACTCGGTTACAGTACATAATGTAAACATACTTTGTTACAGTGTATAATGTAAAAATACTATGTTACAGTTTATAATGTAAAAATACGCTCTTTCAGTTTATAATGTATAAATACTCTGTTACAGTACATAATATAAACATACTCTGTTACAGTCTATAATGTAAACATACTCTGTAACAGTAAATAAGGTAAAAATACTCTGTTACAGTGTATAATGTAAACATACTCGGTTACAGTAAATAATGTAAAAATACTCGGTTACATTGTATAATGTAAATATACTCGGTTACAGTAATTAATGTAAACATACTCTGTTACAGTACACAATGTAAAAATACTCGGTTACAGTATATAATGAAAACATACACTGTTACAGTATATAATGTCAACACACTCAATTACAGTTTATAATGTAAAACTACTCGATTACAATACATAATGTAAACATACACTGTTACAGTATATAATGTAAACATTCTCTGTTACAGTATATAGTGTAAAAATACCGTGTTACAGTACAAAATGTAAAAATACTCGGTGACTGTATATAATGTAAACATACTCTGTTAAAGTATATAATGTAAAAATACTCTGTTACAGTATATGATATTAGTAAACTCGGTTACAGTATATAATGTACAAATACTCTGTAACAGTGTATAATGTAAACATACTCTGTTACGGTATATGATGTAAAAATACTCTGTTACAGTATCTAATATAAAAATACTCTGTTACAGTATTTAATGTAAACATACTCTGTTACAGTATATGATATTAGTATACTCGGTTACAGTAAATAATGTAAAAATACTCTGTTACAGTGTATAATGTAAACATACTCTGTTACAATGTATCATGTAAACATACTGTGTTACATTATATAATATGAAAATACTCTGTTACAGTAGATAATGTAAACATACTCTGTTACAATGTACCATGTAAACATACTCTGTTGCCGTACATAATGTAAAAAATACTCTTTTACAGAAGATAATGTAAACATACTCTGTTACAGTATATAATGTAAAAATACTCGGTTACAGTGTATAATGTAAACATACTCTGTTACAGTACATAATGTAAAAATAATCGGTTACTGTATATAATGTAAACATACACTGTTACAGTATATAATGTCAACACACTCAATTACAGTTTATAATGTAAAACTACTCGATTACAGTACATAATGTAAACATACACTGTTACAGTATATAATGTAAACATTCTCTGTTACAGTATATAGTGTAAAAATACCGTGTTACAGTACAAAATGTAAAAATACTCGGTGACTGTATATAATGTAAACATACTCTGTTAAAGTATATAATGTAAAAATACTCTGTTACAGTATATGATATTAGTATACTCGGTTACAGTATATAATGTACAAATACTCTGTAACAGTGTATAATGTAAACATACTCTGTTACGGTATATGATGTAAAAATACTCTGTTACAGTATCTAATATAAAAATACTCTGTTACAGTATTTAATGTAAACATACTCTGTTACAGTATATGATATTAGTATACTCGGTTACAGTAAATAATGTAAAAATACTCTGTTACAGTGTATAATGTAAACATACTCTGTTACAATGTATCATGTAAACATACTGTGTTACATTATATAATATAAAAATACTCGGTTACAGTAGATAATGTAAACATACTCTGTTACAATGTACCATGTAAACATACTCTGTTGCCGTACATAATGTAAAAAATACTCTGTTACAGTAGATAATGTAAACATACTCTGTTACAGTATATAATGTAAAAATACTCGGTTACAGTGTATAATGTAAACATACTCTGTTACAGTACATAATGTAAATATACTCTGTTACAGTTTATAATGTAAAAATACTCTGTTACAGTTTATAATGTAAAAATACTCTGTTACCGTACATAACATAAACATACTCTGTTACAGTATATAATGTTAAAATACTCGGTTACAGTGTATAATGTAAACATACTCGTTTACAGTAATAATGTAAACATACACTGTTACAGTATATAATGTAAACATTCTCTGTTACAGTATATAGTGTAAAAATACCGTGTTACAGTACATAATGTAAAAATACTCGGTTACTGTATATAATGTAAACATACTCTGTTAAAGTATATAATGTAAAAATACTCTGTTGCCGTACATAATGTAAATA